GACCTTTTGAGAAATCACAAACGGGGATAACGATTTCGTCGCGTCGCGTTGGCTGCGCGCGATCGAGCAAAAAGACGAGAAGAAAGGGAGCCGAAACCACCCTGCGATGCATAATTCATGGTGGTGGGTCCGGCTTTATGGCACACCCCGATGCTTCATGATGTAAACAGTCGTAAATTAATGCAATTGGCCAGAGCTGGTTCACGTGTGTGTGTGTGTGTGTGTTCACCACGGAGAAGAAGAGAGACGAACAGAGGAGAATAACCATAAAATCGTTCACATCTACGACTACAAATTTCATTTCGCTTCACACTTCGTGAATTCGAAGATTCGACTCTGGCATTCTGTCCGCTTCCTGTCCACTAATTGGTGCAATTAAGCGATGACACTGACTCGTTTGAAGGAAACACTAGCGAGTAAAAAGGGTATCGTCGTAATTTGCTTGGACTTTCGCACGACGGGAAAATTGAAGAATTGAAAGCTCCGGGAATACTAGAGAGTGTCATGGGTTATGTTATCTCGCAGCTTGGTAAAATCGCGTTTCAAGTATTTGAAGAATTAAATTATTGCCGATTGTTTCGCGCTCGAAGCCAAAGTCAATTGCATTGCCATTAAGGGATCGCGCTTGTCATTCGAGATCCGACTATCAATGGGGATCTGTTTTGCATTGCAAAGGACTGCTCCCACTATTGTTCGCCTCTGCCGATAATTCTGCTCCGATACAGAGCAGAAAAGGGACAGATATTCGGCCGGCCCGGTTCCCATCCTCGTCCGTGCAAAATCGCACGTGAAACTCCGTTGGAACAAATCCAGGTAAATTTCACTCACCTCGAATCCGTTTCCTCGAGTTGATGAAAACAGCGACGAACGTTTCCAGCTGGCCCGTTAGAAGAAAATAGCCTGCGTTAGAAGAAAATAGATGATTGTTCGTGGCTGAGACTGGATCTGTCAAAGTGAGCGACTCGATATAGTCAACGCTTGTTTCCTCGACGTGGAGTTGCGCGGTCGAAGCGCCGAGCTGAACTGAACCCGAGGTGGCTCGCGATCGTCGCTATAACGTGTGGCCAACGTGAATGGCGGACATGGGCCTCCATAGCGTATTTGTATTTGTTCTTTAGTAGACTGACGATACCATGCGAATTCACATTTCTGCGGTGATGTAATGGAAATTGGATGGAGTGACAACGAAAATAGGTGAATCGTTGAATGACAGTGTATTGCAATAGTTAGAAATTAGATTTACGAAATAATAAATGGTAATAAACTGGATTCATATGAATACATCGTCGTTTACAAGGTAAAAATTGAAACGTTAGAACTATCTACTTCCAACTATGAATTTGACTTATATGAAATGGCAGAATGCTCTTAAACGATATTTATTAGACGTCGACTTGAGGCTTAAGAGTTGTACCATTGATTGCAAATATTCCCGCATGAAAAATTCGGAAACTGAAAACGTGAACGACGAATCAAGAAATTACCAACGACAATTAAACGAAGATTTTTAATTGCAACAATTACAAATTATATTATTTAGAATAATAATAATATAATTATATAACAATTATATAATAATATATAAATATAATAATTATTTAGAACTGAGGAATTGAAATCTGATTGAGGAACAACTGTGGACATTTCATCTGCAACAATCAAATGGTAACCCAGCGAAGACTCATAACGGCAAAAAGATAGTAATTAAGATAGTAACGGCTCTAGTAATAAATAAACGGGTGCAAAACATTCTGGTGATCACCCTTTTAACGAAATCCTCACGTTTACGAATCTAATCCCATAAAGTCCTGACACGGACCATTAAGCCTGATGTCACAGTTCCTTTTCCATTATATCGCGCCACCAGAAATCGCTCGATACTACCCTGCATATAAAGCATTTCGTCGTTTCATTCACTGGGGATGTCGCCCTGGCGTCGGATTACAACCACCATGGGGTTTACGAGAGGGTATTCTACACCCTTCATGGGACTTAAAGGCGCCAGCATTTGTGGATTTATTGCTGGTGTAATGTTTCGTTGTTTCCACGTTCCGAGAATAATAAACAAATATTTGACGTTTTAATTACGTTATTTTTTCTTTTTTTTTTTTTT